TTGTACAGTATTCTGGACCTGGACTCATCATCACAAATATACGCTAAGTATCATGTTGTCAGTACTATATTTATGCAAGCTTTAGGAGAAGGCATAGCGGCAGAGACGTGCAATCGCGCACTCCGAAAAAAGGGCGTTTAGCTTTAGAATAAATGTTTTTACAAAATATAAGCAACGAAACACATGCTGCGCCTGGCCCGTTTGCAGTTGGTATGCTCTATCAATCGGCACTGCCACCATTGCAAAATGCGATAGTTTATTGTCAGGGCGACGCATCAGCGCATCCAACATCACATTACGCCAACCTAGCTTATTCTCATAAAATGTATGATTGGATTAAAAGAACGCGCATCTTGTTATTCTCTGTAAGAGGTGTGCGGTGTGGGATTGCGCATAACCAGTATAGATCACTAAGGGCTCAAAGCCAAGCAGGTATACCCTGAATATGACGCAAGTATTTTTGGATTGCAAGTAATAACTGACTTTTCCAGGATGAGACTTATATTCAATCACACTTAATACCCATTAGCAAGGATGAAGCGCCTCAGGCGACTCGATATAGCCAAGCCAAATTGGGAAGTGTCTGAATAGTGGTGATCATGTGACTTCATTTTCAGCCTCTAATGCTTTATCTTAACGTCACTGTAACTTCTTTTGAAGAGAATTTATAAGAAATGGGACGTATCGTCATACATTACACTAATTTTGTGCAAAAAATGGCTAGCCAAGCTAAGCTTCTTTGCGACAGAGGTACTTACCTACCCACGACGGCCTTGATCGGTATCTGCCCTCAGACCCTGATCCCAGTGGAGCATTTTCAAATAATAATCTATTCGGCGCCGAAGTGACGCTTATTTTAAATGGCAAATAGCATAACTAGACGCATACTCTCGGGCACTGCTCGTAGATGTTTGAGGTGGTCTTCAACACCCAGTAGCTCGTGCTCCATACAACAATGGCCCAATGCGTTGTTGTAATAGATTTGTGTATGACCTAATTATGGCCTGAAAAGCTGCGTTACCAGACAAACGAGCGTTGCTAGTACATTTGACTGTTCATGTGGTCAGCCAGTCACATACCACATATCACACGTACTATTTCCCACAGTGATAGAGATATCGCTGCATCGATATGGTGCCAACGGTTCCTATCCGCCAGGTCATGGCTCTAAAGGTCAAACCGACTCTGCTTTTCCGCGGCACCTGATGTTCAGGGGTCAGAATTTGCGGCGATATTGCGGTTGCATTCAGCGATATTGTGGTTGCATTCAGCCTATGATAGGCATGCACAACTTGCCACTTGCCCTACTCCTTCCTAACACAAAAAGTCTGGTGCCAAGCGTAGAATTCATTTCTCCATCCAACCCCCCTTCGGTTTTGCACAGATAAAGAACATTAGAACATCAGAATGCTCCCTTTATAAGCCTTGCCGTGTGATGCATTATCCAGTTACTAAAACCAGCTCAGATTAGTGATGTGCTCTTCTATACGGGGGTAAGATGTATGGGAGGTCTCCTTTCTACACGTCGTGATATGCTAGCAATTCACATACGATGCTTTAGAAAGGCTGTCATACTCCTTGCGCTAATGCTATATGGGTGTTATCAACGACGGATCAGTTGGTGACAGATGACAAGCTCAATTCATTCATCCAGTATCGTCCGTGCCATTACCACGACCTCAGCGTCTTGAAATTTGTTGCATATATCTTCTCAAAATAATTTAATCCATTCAATGAAAGCTTCCAACAGAGTTAATGAGAATAAATTTACAGCCCCTAGGTCTTCCCATGACTGAGTAATTTTTCTCGCCATTGCCCGTCGAGCTTCACTGCTCTTCACAGTGGATGTGGCGCGTTGCACGTGAGTGCTGACTTAAAAAAAATCATGCCAAGAATGAGTCATTTATGGTAGTCTCAGACTATATTCGTACTACTTGCAACTCACTTTCACCTTGACCGGCTCCTAAAAAGAAGGCCACACCGCACAGTCGCTTCTACGTTTCACCGAATCTGAACGGGACAGGATCAGCTTGTCGTTACTTGCCGTCCCGCCTGCGTTAACTAAGACCACGAGATAGTCATACTTTCGTGTCTCAGCAGAGATAGATCCTGAAGTCCGCGATATACTATCGACTTTTCTGGCTAACACTGGGGACATGGTTCACCGCCAGTTCTGCGTATTGAGCTCTGATTCAGACACTGAGCAATAGCACTGCTAACCAATAAGCAATTTCATGCCCTTCCCATTAGCTCATGTATGCTAATACCACGCGCTCAAGTTGCTTTTAATTCTGGCAAAGGTAGGCTTATGAGTCACCAAAGCTTCACGAGAAGAGAATTGAATGGCACCTGAGTAATCGAGTTCCAGTCAGTTTCATGACTCATTGCATTCAAGCTAAGACGTTCTTAGGATTTCAACATGCTTTGGATTCTGGTCCAGGAATATAAAAGCTTTGATATACTTCACAGAGCTGAACTGACCAGCCCCTGTCACAAACCGCACGGATATTGTGTCCGTATTCGGCACCTTTTATGCCTTCGCATACTAGACGACTTATTTCCAACAGTCAAGCACCGTATAAACTTGCCCGACGCTTGTCGGATCTGTCTAGCCTACTCACGGCTAGATAGAGCTCGAGATATTGGGATTGACAGCCAACAACCCTGGGCTGTGACCCCACCTCTCTTGATTAGATTCCGCAATATAATTCTGGGTCACATTGACCACAACCTACACGGGGCACAATTAAGCCTAGCACTTTCCCAGAAAGTCGGCTTGAGTGCTTTGGGTCTTGGTGATTTCCGTCGAGGGTGTAGGGCGATTGTAAGTCGCGAGTATAAAGCTTGGTTCTGCAGAGAAGAATGATGGCTAATCTTTGCCCCGATGTGACGGTATTGCTAAGTACCCTTAAGTGATAAGCCTACCGTACGGAGCTGTGACCTCCACGATTAAGTGGCGAGAAAGATAATTCACTCATGAAGTCACCGCGGTAGCTTTAGGGGCTGTAAGTCTGCCCTCACTATCTCGGGGCAGAAGCTTTTATAGAGATTGATTCCTCGGGGATATGTGCAAGAGATCGCAAGATGGTGAGGCCACTGAAGTGGTACGTTTGTACCAAGGGAAGTGCCTTGGTTGTGAGTTGTCGAAGCTGAATATGTTGTTGGAAAAATTCGCAGCGCACTGGTATGAAGGGTAATACAGCTATCCTCAAAAATTATATGAATCGTCTCTAAACTTTGTCGAAGAAATTTGACAATGACAAGAGCAAGAGACCCACCACACGTATTAGCCGGAATAGGGGGAATGCGTCATGAAATGAACTATGTTTTCAAAACAAGATATTGCGTCACACGGCTATGGTTCGTGCCAATAAAACAGATCGATTTCAATAACACTATTCGCTGTGCAAATCACGAAGCAGATTTGGTAGAGACACTTAATGTCAACACTTGATGTAACGGGGTCACTCGTACCCTTGTATGAAAGCGCGGGCCACAAAAGACAGTGCAACCGTATAATGGTCTGAATTACACTAGCTGGTGTAATCTCACAATGGTGTGGCTACACCATAACAGAAGGCCACTACGTGGCAGCATTGCCAGTAGTTATGCATATTACTTAGGTTTTACTTTTAATTAAGAAAAATAAATGCTCTAGATATAGGCGGCTCTGCCACAAATTAAATAATTAAATACAATTTTAATTTTGAACGGAAGAGCGTCGTTTCCTTAGTTATGGTTTGAAGTACTCTTGGAGGCAGCAGATTGCGATCCGCTGCACTCGTATTGGTTCATGTATAGAGCGTTTTAAGCCCGCTATGTATGTTACAAAGGTGAAACGTCAGTTGACAATGCTCGGTACCATGTAGCGAGCACGCTGTGCATACGAATGAAGGTGCTAATGACCTTGACGAAGCTTGAAGAACTCGGCGCGGGCGCGCCTTCTTTAGCTCGACTGTAAAGGGAGGAGAAAATGTGGTCGTCTAAACACTTACCACACGCCTAACGCTTTGCAAGGTTGGAAATCGTGAACAACACTTGCTGCAAGGAGTCTTGCAGCTGTCTTGCAATGATTGCTGCATCGACACGACTATTTATGTGCTCTTTATGTGCTGTGCTCTTTCCATAGCAGAGCAAAGTAAAAGTGTTTACAATTTTGATGCTCTCCTGGCAGGAGCGCACGAATTCACTCACCCTCTGAGCGTGAATAAAGTCAGATTCTAAGGATATCGAAGCCTTTCCTTTGTAAAAGTGCATTGTTGCAGAGATTGTACGATTAAAGGACGGCCACCCACAAAACTTGATTAGTTTTTGATAAAAACCGTCATGTCCTATTCAAACAAAGAAACAAATCTTGCATCACGCCAAAAAAGCTATATTGTGTGGTCCAGACTTGCAAGGAACATGAACTCGCCCAGACAATATTCATATATCAATATTTGAATTCCTTAGAGGGAATTCGCCCAGACAAAGCCAAGGCAAAGCATCGAACGGTCATAAAAGTGGATGTAAAGTCTTAACATCAGATAGTAATTCCAGTAAAGCTCGTGGTGAATATGGCTACAAAAGATATGATGAGGAACGACACCCCTTTTTAGGGGTCGTGTAAGCCATGTCAAGCACGTGCTATAGGGTTTTATTCATCACACTCTAACCCCTCTCTACGATTGAACCCTGGAAATATGGCTACAATAGAGCAAGAGCTTTAAGATGCGGTCATTACCACCATCCAAGTTGCTGAGGGCACCATGATCAACGAGCAAGAGACCTTTGCTTACTCAAGCTGCAATTTGAGTAGAAGCCTGTCACGCAAAGTTGTATGCAACTACGAATACTATAAAAAAATGGTAGATTGCAGGATGTGGAAAAAAATTTTCGAAAAAGTGTACTAAATTAATTAATTATTAATAGATCAGCATTTCAAGAATCGCGGTTCAAGGAAGTATAAGCCTCAACATATATGTATCAGACGATAAATGACTAAGTGACAGCTTGTAACGTCAACCAACTAATTTCTCTTCAGTTGCGCAGAGAAATTCAAATTCGGCCATTATGGGCACATGATCGCTGCCGTAAACAGAGTTGGGAATTCCATTATAGTTGCCATGCAGACCCGATGGTAAGCGCCCCAAACGATTCACGTTGTCCGACATGACTAAACGGTTAAACCAATTCCCTGGTCCATCCTCTGCACGTAATTCGCTCTCAGGTGGTATTGCTAGTACTCGTGAAGGCACTAGACTGCTTTTAGTGTACCAGATATAGTCAATTGTCCAGCATCGCCTGTAGTTTACAGTTGTGTGCGGCGGCTCAGACTTCTTGCCCTCTTCCACATCAATCGCCTCGTCCGAGGACTTCAATGCACTTGCAAGCGCGTTCGGTTTGTAAAAAGCATATGCGCTACGAAAAATTTCGCTTATTCCTTCCAGATTAGGCTTTTGCATAAATGAGTTTTCCATATAATCGTAGATTGGAGATTCAGGGGAGTTGTTGAAGTCACCGCAAAGTACGATCGGGACTTTATTCTGACCAGTCAAGGTTTTGGCTAAGTCATGATTGTATTTATCTTGAACATCGCTGCTCATGCGGATAATTTCTTCCTCAAGCTCGTAAAGCTCAGCCATCTGGTGATCTACTTTTCTGTAACCAAATGACAATCTCACTTAGCTCCCATCATTACTGCCTCCATAGAAAAGCTATTGCCAAAACTACAACGTACTTGGCATTCCACCATAGGTGCGTGCACCCAATCAAAACAAACTGAGCGAATTTTCGCATCTTGAGCAGCGCCAAAACAGCCACCCGGTCATGTGGATCATGATAATTCACAGCCTCAAATTCTTTGAGCTCAAACTTTTCCTTCCTAATTACAAAAATTAATGGCGTGATCCTATAAAATCAGCAAAACACTCACTTGTAAAAAATACCGCAGCCGTCATGCTTCTTCTCACCAGACCAATTAGATACGTGGATGGATGGCCGCTTTAAATATACGCTGTCGTACCCTCGATGCTGTAATTCAGGTTTGAAAAAACTGTAACGTCACGCACCACAAAAAATTGTCAGATTCGTAACATCCAACAACAGAAGTTGCTAAAACGTACGTCCAGTAGTCGCTCAACTCCTCTAGGCAAAGAACGTCAGCGTCCAGCGCATCCAGTTGTCGCAGCAGTGTCATTTTGCGATTCTCCCAGTTAAGACTGGACTCTAGCACGTACGGAAAATGGTTACGTGTAGCCAAGTTACTCGCTAGAATATTCAGCTACTCGAAATCAGTATTTACACTGAATCAGAAACAAAAAGCCTCTTATCGACTCTATCGAGCCTAACATCCCGCACCTGTACAACCGTAATCTTTTGCTTGCTAAGTCGATTCGAATTAATTTGGCCCTGCTCCACGGTGCACGGAAGCAGCTGTTCGTGCGTACATCTATTTGTGTTGTTGTACAGATTGCGCCGCGCTCGGCAATTTGCAGACGCACGGCGAAAGGCTTGCCACAAACCGACATTGTGTCTGGAAAGTGAAACTGAGGCTAACACAGCCGCGCCCATGCCGAGGCAAACGGCAGTGGGGCGACCTGACAATGTCACGCTCATAGTGCAAGCAAAATAAGAACTGCAATGCATCAGCTATCCCCTTCTAAGACGATATCGGCTTTGCAATCTATGTCATGCTATATATAGATTGGAATGGTCTACTACCATTGTCAAAGATGGTGTGTACAACACTTTTACAGTGTCCACGCGCTTTATTTATTCTTTAGTAAAAGAGGCGCTTGAATATTTGGGATGGCACGAATGTAGTTGAAAACGATCCGTATAAAGGAAATTTCGATAAAAAGCGTATGCACTAGCGTCCGCTGATGAAGTTAGACCAAGTTGCAGATGCGTAGATAACACAACTGTAAAAAAATGAGTGGCGAAAGTAACGGTCAAGCTTGAGAAGTCGCAATGGATTTAACACAAGATAATCGGCATTTGCAACGTAAGGTCTGGGACTTGCGCTCGAACAATGTAAAATATTCATCCTCTGCCTTCTCTGTCACCAAACGCATTCGCACATGTAAGTGACGAACACACTTTCAAGTAAACACAACTTTAAAAGCATTTCAAATCTCGATATTATAATTGGTTGCGATGGACACATAATTATATAAAACACCCCTTTGATATTCTCTGTGCAATGGTATGACTGCATCGCCTTTGAAACTGAATGTTGTAAACTTAATAAAAATTTGTTGTCGTGTAGTACGCCACTTATTTGTTTGGAAGCTTCGAAAAGCTTCTCACCAGTCAGACATTGATTCCAAAACTTAGGTTAGACAAAACGTCGTGAACGTTCTGGCGATCCATCTGCTGGCGTTGTCGGCTCAATGTACTCTTGGAATAGTAATGCTTCACATTCAGACTATGCTTAAGCTGCTAAAGCCTTTTTAGTAATTGCACACCGCATCAAAGGAATTTATAGATAAGTTTATCCACCACAGTGCCTTGAACTAAGTATAGGAAAATAATTATAAATAGGGTTCTTCCGATTTCGTAATTGTAATCTTTAATTTTAATGCAGATCCTCATCTCGTGCGCAACGGAATTCATGCGGGTAGAATGCTCGATTGCGCTATTCATACCGCAGTCTTTTAAATTGTAAAATGCAGTCATTAAAAATAAAGATTTTTTGGCAGGTTGATGCCATACATAAATGTGTCCGATAACAATAATTTACGTCTCGAAAAGTTTGACATAATAGGCAAAAGGTGCTTCATTTGATTTCTGAGACAAGAAACCCATGACATAACTTTCAGCATCGTTAAACGGATCAGATTGCGTTGCTACAAATATGGAGTGCTTGCCTATTATTTTGTCGTACGTGATGCAACGTTTCAGCGAGCATCGAAAAGTTCAGATAAATATCCCAAAAAATATACATGACTCAACATTGCCATGTTCTAAAAGTGTCAAGCCCGTCTATAATTGATCACCTCCAAAACGATGACAAGATGTTAGTAGGCTTCAAAGATCACTTATAAATTGTCAGTTCTTCACCTTTTCGTTTGCAATGCGCTGTGCACTGTTTCTTGCCTTCACCTTTGCAGGTGTCATTTTTGATCGAGCATCGAGTTTAAGCTGCAATGTTGCCTCTCAGCTGAAAGTAATGAGTTTTAACCTTCGCACGTCGATGGCCAACGACCCATGCCCAAGCGGTTGCTGGGAGCAACGCAAGTTTAGAGCCAAGAAGCTTGTGCAGCACTACAATCCTGATCTTGTTGGTACCCAAGAAGGAGCCCCTGACCAAATCAAGTATTTTCAAGATAATCTTCAATTTGCGAGTACGGGCGACTGTGCGGGTGAATGTCAGTGGAATGAGCGCAACAGTATATTCTACAAGCGCGAACGCTGGGAACTGCTGGAGACTTCAACGTTTGCATTGGTAAATCGCTCGTATTTGGATATACTGAATTTTATCTGAAAATAAGCTAATGCGTTTTGTAAACAACTGCAGAGTGACACCCCTGATGTACTACCATCAAATACGTGGAATCTTCAATATCTGCGCGCCGGAGTCATAGCGCGTTTTCGCGATAAAAGTACACGTCATGTCGTATGCATGCTGAACACGCATTTTGACATTAATCGTGGTCAGCCTGAATCGTCAGTGTTGGTCGCAAAGCGGCTGAGTCAGCTGTGTCAGTCGAAAGACACGGTGCTTATGACTGGGGATCTGAATACTGCTCCTCAGAGCTCATCCATCCAGTACCTTGCGAATCAGGGTCCAATTGATGGGCATTATACTCCTATCCCTATGTATGACACGCTGACTGCTTCGGGCGCTGGAGGGCCTACTTGGATTGGATCATCATTTGGAAACAAGCCGGAGGGTAACAAATTTGACTATATATTCTCTCGTCGTGACGACCACACTTGTTTACGTAATGGTACAATTTTGGTTGACTTATTTGACGGGTATTCGAGTTCAGACCATGCAGTAGTTTTGTCGGAATTTTGCCTTGGAACAAAATGCTCGAGTTGTATCGCGTAATTTTTTATATAGCTATCAACTTATTTTTCCTGGCAAACTTCGAAAAAACCAATCATGAATTAATTTATCATTTCATATCTTTCATTATCTAAGGTGGAGTCGTTATCGAGACTATTAATACTAGTCCAGTATTTTTAGCTCTACGCAGAGAGTAACTGTGCCACTCACACGTAGAAAGCTTTGACTCAACGAGTCCGTATATTAAGTACTTTTTCTAGATCAAATGAATGGTAAACGTACATGTCTTACTATGTTCAGCAATAAAATATATGCCTTGCACTACAACACATGTGTCCTACAAACTCCTGCTTTGTGGATCACCACGGTTCTCAATAGTATCAGTACTTTGGTACTTTTGAGTAGATTAATGTCTACGTACACAATATAACAGTTACAACACAGCAAACCAAGATGGGTACCATCTGTGGGCTCGCACTTTTTTATACTTACAATACATTGCACAAAGGTGAACGCTCAACGATTATCCACCGCTCTAAGATAATTGCCCCACCAGTTGCACCTCACAACGCCTTTCCAACAAGCATACTTGAATCAGGAGTCTTCTCCCTTACTTACCCCCCATACGACTGATATAGCCTCGGAAAAAGGCGCAATCTTTGCGGCCGACGATCTCAATGCCATTTTTGGTAGGTGTTTTCCACGGTAGCAGCGGGGCTGCCGTAGCTTAGCGCTTGAGGAGGCGTAATTTAGGTCACCGACCTTTCGTTCTATACTTAAAACAAGTACGAGTTAGCAGATTGCAATCCACCCTTTTGCTTTGATTATCGGTCTGCGGATGATCCGCTGTCGACATATCCAACTTAGTGCCTAGCACCTTGAAGATAATCGACCAAAATTTTCCCGTGAAACGGGGGTCCTTATCAGAGACAATCGACTCTGGGTGACCGTGTTGACGGAAAACACGATCCACGAACAGCACTGCTGTACCGACTCCGTCGATGGTGTCCGGCACCACCGCCTAATGAGCCATCTTGTTTAACCGGTCGACGAGTACCACGACATCCGTGTTGTCCGCCGAATCTTTCGGCATGTCAAACACAAAGTCCAAACTCATGGACTGCCAGCACCCAGTGGGTACCGGTAAGCTGGC